AAACGGTCAGCCAGCCTATGATATTACTAAGTATATTTGATGATATTATTGTGAATAAAGTAATTTATATTATAACCTATTTACGTGAAACCTTGATTTAAATTTTCAATCTCTAGTTATAAAAGTTTAATTTTTTAACTACAAAATAATTATTAAATTTTAAATTTCATAAATTTTGTCGAAATTCGAACTTTAAATGCTTATAAAAAAAAATTATGCCTATGCATTTTTAATATTTTTCAACTGCTATTGTAACAATATATCAGGAGCTTTGCATTACATTTTCACGCCTTTTTAGTTTTTACCCAATAAATAAAATTTTATTGATATTTATAGAAAAAAAAAAAAACTAAAAAAGTTGAAAACTGAAAATGCCTGTAAACAGCTCAAAAAGAGTCAAAATATTTTCAAAATTGTATGGTGTGTAGGAAATGCTAATATAAACATTCAGTAAAATTTTCAAGTATCTACAGTCATTCGTTTTTTAATTACAGCTAAATAAGAAAATCGTTACATGAGAAATCTAGTGAATATCAAATGTTGTAAAATTATAAATTTTAATTTGACTTTCTTCTAGAAATTTTTTTTTGAAAAAGGTAGACAAACTTTGGAGGAATCTTGTATTACATTTCAAATCTTAGATTTTAAAAGAACATTTTTAACCAACAAATAAAATTTTATTGATATTATTTTTAAAAAAAAAGCTGAAAATGTCCGTAAACAGCTCAAAGTAAGTCAAAATGTTATGGTGTATAGAAAATTCTAATATAAACATTGAGTCAAAATTTAAATTTCATGTACTTACGGTTATTTGTTTAAAAGTTACACCAATAACCAAAATCGATTTTCTCGAAAACAGATTTTGCGTAAAAATTCCCGTTTTTCCTTAATTTTTCATTTGTTTTTCACTGCTCTTTTGAAAACTACTTTTGACCCCCCAAAGTACCAACTAGATTCCTTTCAGAAAAGATACTGTTGAAGAAAATCTAAGCACTTTTACTGTCCTAAAAGGTGATGATAGACACAAAAAAAAAATAAAAAATAAATAAAAAGACACATCATTGTAAAATCAATACATTCATCGTTTCACTCAGAATCTAAAATTAACTCGTTAATTTCAAGTTAATTAAAAAATAAATTTAGTAAGTTAACAGTTAAGTTAATAAAAAGCCAAAAGTAACTAGTTAAGTTATAAAGTTAAAATAAAATTAACTTTTCAACTTAACTTTAACTTTTTAACTCGTTAATGCCCAGCCTTGGTTATTATAGTAATTTGTATAATATATTGTGTTCAAAATGAAAATACTAAAATTATATTTATTTAAATAAGTGGTTCAACTTCAAAATATTTATTCTATTGTTTGTGATAATGACCTATTTACGTTTTATTGTTCACGTTAACAAAATATTTAGTATCTATTTAGAGTCACGTAATTATTTACATGTTTTAATGTTCTTTTAGGATCTTAAATATATTGTGCGGACTTTAAATTATAAATCTAGGACAAATAAATTATGTAAAATATTAATATTTATTTTAATTATTCATGTACTATGTTTGGGCACTGCTGGTTAGGTTGTTGTAAACCTGCTGGCCCAAGTAATTTTTCTGACTTGAGACGATAATAGTTTTTTTAATCAATATTTTCGTTTACATACCAATTTAATTAGACACCTAATACCTACCTTGTACACAAAATTATTTTCATTTAATTTAATTTAGATATAATCACAATCGATCTTTTTATCGTAATTTAATTTTAAATAGGTATTGGAATACAGAACATGTAGTGGAATGAATAGTTAGAGAAATGTATAATAGACAAAAATATAGGTATTATGAAATAATTGACAGTGTAAAACAAAAATACATAAATAAGCATTTCTGCATTTTTTTTTTAATATAAATGATATGTCTTCGGGCTGGGTACAACAGATATTTTTATTTTCTAACCGATTTTGTGTAACGCTTTGTTTATCATTATCACCAATTATTCACTATAGAAATGAATAAAATTTAAAAATTACCTAATTCCCACTAGGTGTCAGGTATAAATACAATTAATGGTTTCTTATTAATACATATTTAATATTATTTATGATTCATACATTTTCTTCGAAGTGGAAAATATCGAGTAACGTGCTACGTTTGTAATTTTGTCATTTGCTGTTATCAATACATTTTTTATATGGACATACGTGGCATTTGGGTGAGGGAGGGTCATGAGAGGGCAGTTGCCCTCCCAGAAACAATATTGAAAGGGTAAACTTATTATTGTAATTGGGTCAGTAAATTGTGATTAATTGTTTCCCCAAACCCAACAATTAGAGCCAAGTGCCGCCTATGTATAGGTCTATAGGTACCAAAGATCCTATTGCATTTTAATTATTTGTAAGAAAACAAAAAGCAATAGTATAAGTATTAAAATATATGATTTATTGATTTGTACCTAATTAATTGATTTATACTTTTCCCATTGTGTAAAGTGTAAACTATTATTATTTTCCATTAAAATGAATTTCACGGTATCAGGTGGTTATTTATTTTTGTAACTAATATTATTTACTATGTTTGAGGTAGTTTAATTTCTACGGTATTTGCTTTCAAAAAGATAGCAACGCCGAGTTAACCTTATTAATTTATCATAAGTCATAAGACATTTAATATAAAATAAAATAAAATAATATTAAGTCTAAAAAATATTTTCGACTGTAAAAAGTAAATACTGAGAGTTTCGTGTAAGTACGATAATTAAAAGACATGCAAAGATATATCTACTTATTAAATTATCTGTTTTAACATTTCACCACAATGGCATAAATATTTGATTTCGATGACACTGTTTTGATTTTAGTAGCACACGTGGTTGTCGATTATAAATATTTAAGACTATATAGTTACTATAATATAATATTATGTGATAAATGTATAAAATAATGTTATTATATAGATTGTAGATATAGGTGCATGTACAATATTATGTCATAACTTATTTCATGTATTTAGTTACCTATAGGCCATAATGTAAATTGAGCAAATTTCTTTTTAATCGTTCGTTTATACTTTATGTTTTTATAGTATAACGAATCGAATTGCATAAAGTGTTTATGCTTATATTATATTTATAATTTATATGGAAAATATTTAACTATAGCTTTGGTTATGATTACACAACAAAATCGCTCAGGAATTTGTAGAAAAATATTTTGTTTTGTGTAATATTATGAAAATTTTTTCTGTTTTTGTTTTATTACGATTCATGCTATCAAATTTTTAATAACACTTCAACGTACGTACTATAGTCAGGTATATAGTTAGTAGTTACTAGAAATACTAACCTAACCTATTATATGTGTTCGACTCACAGTCATTACGGTAAGTAATTCAATATAACTAATATAAGATACTAAGTTATAATCGATAACATTTTACACTTTGTAATTGTTTATTTTACACGAAAAATAAAATCTTATATAACTCGTGTTATTGGACACCTGTTGCCCTGTTATATACCTACCTACTTACCTATTATTCCACAGTTAGGTATATGCTTATTAAATTTGTTCCATTCGACCAGACTCTGAGTACAACAAATATACCATCAAAGTATTGATTCTAACGTCGTTTCTCCACAGTTCAACGAACGTAGTGACTACGTACTACCTTATATACAATATCCACGTGTACTAAATTATAAGAGCACAAATACTTTTTTTTTTTTTTAAATTCACGACCAACACTGAATTTTATAATTATTTGAAAATTGTTCGATATACTAATAATGTTTTTAACAACTTTGAGCCTACAGTTAAATACATTTACGTACATAAGGTGGTAGTGGAGGGACGAGTCAAACCTATCTTAAACATTTGACATAACAATATTACATGATATATAATAATATAATAGTTGGGGTAAAATTTGACAAAATCAGCAAAAGATATATAATGGATTTAACTATTCAAGTCATTCATTATACCTATATCTAAAATACTTAAGATATTTACTTCAAAATCAAAAATTTTGATTTTGTATTTTAGAGTTAACTAATTGATTTATTTATTTCGTGAGGCGTACTAACACCTACCATATATCTAGTTATAATTATTAATCAATATCACAAGTAAAAGTCACAGTAATCTCAATACCTAAATATCACAATCAGAGTTAAAATTAAAAATGTTTTGCATTAAATGTTACATAACTTATATAGATCATAAGTCCATATCGAGTAATTTAATCCATTCTATAGCTTCTGGGGTGACATGATGGATACTAGTCAGGTCTTGATAAAAAAAAAAATAGTATTTTTTGGCACTATGACGTGATTCATAAAGTTCACAAATTACCCAAAGATTAAAACCTTCACCAGACTATATTATTGTATACAGACATAAAATAATGACAGTTGAGTTAGGTATCGAAATACTGAATTCGATGCTTAAGGGTCCTGTGGGGTGACCGAAAATAAAAAATACCCGAAATGTTTATTAGATATACGTCATTATGCGTTATTATTACGTGTAATTCGTGCAGCATAATAAATAATTATATTATACGAGTGTCAGAGTGTGAATACGAAAAAAAACTAACATCCACTGGATGGAGTGTAAAAACATTTTGTTGATAGGTATAATATAATTATTATTATTATTTTAGTCACATGGGGCTGGAGGTGACGTGAAGTACAGACCTGAAAAAAAATAACAATAATAATATTATAATACCACATCGTTCCGGTAGGTATACATATTTACTATATGTATATGTATTTTGACGACGGTCGTTGCGATAATGTCATTATCGGTCCGTCGGTCGTCTGCGCATCGCTATAGCCGAATTATTGCAAATAATTTCGTTTGTCATCGTCGTCCGAATTTCGCGCGTGTGTGTACGTGTGTTTGTGCGTGTGTCCTGATTCCCGTGCGGGCCGCGGGACACGCGCTAGCCGGTGCGTTCGCTACCGACAGTGTCCATTTATCGGTCGCCGCCGTCGCGCATGGCGCCTAACCCGTTCACGGCCAGGCTGGCCGCCCGAATCGCCATGTCGTACGGGCCCAGCGTCAGCTACATAATGCTCATCCGCGTGGCCATACTGTTCTTCCGGCCCGACATCGAGGACGTCGATCACCGGCTGACGGACCGCCGGATCGCCGAGATCAGGGACAAGTACGACTTCGTGGTGATCGGCGGCGGTTCCGCTGGTTCCGTTATGGCCAATCGCCTGTCCGAGAACGCCAACTGGACGGTAATGAAATAATATTATATAACGACACCTCATAATCATAATATCGTAATGATTGAATGCTTTTGTTGTATGAGCAAAAACATTTTTCAATAAAAAACCAAACAATTTGAAATAATTATAATAACTGGTAGAGTGTAAAAATCCTTCATGTTAGGTAACATTTTTTAAGCATCTATACCACGATAACCCTAATCAACGATCAATGAGAGCCAATAAACAATAAACAAAAAAAAAATCAAAACTGAATTCTCGCTAGGACATTTATTATTATAACTGGTAGGTACCAAAATTGTTTTAAAATGGTTGGGGAAATGTTTTTTTTTATTAAATAATTAAATAAATACCTATGAAAATTTACATTTTGTAAAATTGAAAACAATAAGTGAGTTTTATGCAATTATAAAAAACTTGAATATGTGATGGGATGTGGCCAGATAGGATGAAAAAAAACTGTTCAACTTAAAAGAAAGTGATTAACCAGTAAGGCAGTAACGACTTACAATATTTTACTGACCAGTGACAAATTACAATAGGTACGGTGAATATCAAAAAAGCGCGATAAATACTATAATAATTAATAACTCTATATTATTGTTGTATATACTATAAGTTATAACTTATGATATTTTAATACCTATTGTAACCTGTCATTTATAGTTGTAATGTTTTATATTGTATGGGGATTATATTATGACGAAACCGGTAAACTGTCAGGTGACACCATCGCAATCGGTTTCGTGTAGGGTATATAGGTACATATTATAATAAATAATACTTATGTTTATATTTACAATACGATTATCGAATGGATAAAATATTTTTCTAGTGATTTTAATGGTCAAACGAAACACCACTATCACAAAATGGAATCCGAGTCGTATTATACACGATATAGGTTGTGTATATTATATACCTATAGTGTCAAATGTCAACGAGCACCTATTTTTTTAAACATTGTGTATTGTGATTGTTTAATGTGATTTTGAAGTAGATTTTTTTTAATTTCTTTGAGATATTAAGTATATTATATAATAAAAAAGGTATATTTTATACAGTATGATTCTTATAAGTTTTTTTTTTTTGTAAAAACATAGTAAGGATACCTAGGTAGACACCAAGACCAAGCAATATCATGTAGTTTTAATGTAAATACAATTTCGGGTGTTCAATATTATTATTTGATTTTGTTGAGATGCCCATACAATTTGACTCTATATAATCTATACATTTAAATAACATTAGGTAAAGGTAGAACATATTTTTATTTAATTTATTCTTTTCGTTAGTGGTTATATTATGTAATTTTTAAAATTTGCTTTATTGTTAATTGTTTATACTGAATTAATTCGGAGCAATGATAACAATTAATGATATAAATGTATAAGATAATAATTCTTAGTTTTATTATTATTAGTCATTACTGTAATTTAATATGTACAAATAAAAATTATGTTAAACGACAAATGAAATATTGTATTTTTATTTCTTGTAAAAATAATTTAAGCTTCAGTAAATTTTTTTAAAATTAATCATATTAATTAAAAGTCTGATAGTTATAATATCAAATAATAAACATAGGAACTTAATATATTAAATGATTAAAGTTAAATTTATTGTATTTTAATCAACCCTTTAAACGTTACCGTAAGAGCGGGATACTTTACTCCAGGGGTTAAACATTGCTCCAAAAAAAAATTTTATTGATATCAATCGTAGCACATTACGATTTTGAGATCAGAGATTGTAGTTTTTTTTATATTATTCTTATTAGCATTATTAATTTTTTCAAACATTACGGACATCAATCTATTAGTTTTCCTCCAAGATGTATATCATGTAAAAAATGGTTTTCAAAAACACAGAAATACATAACGGAAAAGTTATCCAAAATCTAGGGGATTGAAATTTAATTTAAAATGTATTGAAAAAAGACTTTTAATCAACTAAAAAAAAAAAAAAATATATTATTAAATTATATTAAGTATAGGTTCAAATAAGTTAAAACACAAGCACTAAACATTGCACCAATAGTTATTATATGCATTAAAGTAAGGTAATTTTAATCATTGTGCAATGTAACCTGCAATGTATTTTAACTTTGCTCCAAACTTTTGGGAATAAGTAAGTAAGTCACTAGTACGACATTCGGATTTTTTTGAATTGTTCTTACCTCTTAACATCTATACATATAAAACAACGCGAACAGGTAATTTTTATCTTTGTTATTGAAGCTATAGTATAGGTTCAAACTAAAAAAGAAATATACTTGGAGCAAAGTATCCCGCTCTTACGGTATTTTATATAACAATAAAGTATTATAAAGTTCTATAAAATGGTTTTATATCTTATTTTTTTTTATATATTTTTAATATGTTGTGATTAATAATTGTATAGAATATTGTAAATAAACTCATTACAATTTAAAATTATAATTTATCAATAATCAAAAAAATTATACCCATCTATATTACATTTTTTATTTACATATAGGTACAATTATTATATAATTAAAGTATGATTGTGAAATCGAAATTTTTATATTTTAATCATCTTATTACAAAATATAGTACTATTATAACATCAACATAATATTACATAATAATAGTTCAAATTTTAAATGATACAGATATTTTAGAATAGAAAAATTCTAAAACCATCGTAATTATTATATTGTTTTAATTCCAATGCGTTAAATTATTATTGAAACAATATAATCGTATACAATTTTTAATTGGTAAAAATGAAATTTGAAATATTACAATTAAACACTGTCTATAGTTGCATATATATGCGATATATGAATCGATCGTAGGTAATGAAAAAAAAGGTATCTAGAAAGTAAACGAATACTATAACAATTAACAAGTAATAACAATCGTTCTTGTTTGTTAGGTTCTATTAATAGAGGCCGGAATTGACGAACCGGCATTGTCAGACATACCATTGCTGTATCCTTCCCTCCAGCGCACGTCTGTTGATTGGCAGTACAAAACAGAACCCAGTGATTCGTCTTGCTTGGGCTTCAACGGGAACCAATCTAGCTGGCCCCGAGGCAAAGTCATCGGGGGCAGCAGTGTCCTGAATGCCATGTTCTATGTCAGGGGCAACCGGAAGGACTACGACGCATGGCAAGACGCCGGAAATGAGGGCTGGGGTTACGAGGACGTGTTGCCGTACTTCATCAAGTCCCAGGACATGAGGATACCGGAGCTCGTGGATTCCAAGTACCATGGCACAGGAGGATACCTGAGCGTGGAGCATTTCCGTTCGCACTCACCGATCGTGCACAATTTTTTGGAGGCCACCAAGGAATTCGGTTATGATGAAGTTGATATAAACGGTCACAGTCAGACAGGATTTACGCGATCTCAAGGTACTATTATAATATAACTATATGCGGTTGGTACCAGATGCAAAATGTATTGTATATTTCATTTTCGATATTTATTATTACTCATGTAGGTTTTATTTTCATATTAAAATACTTTGACCAATATATACGACTATACGACAAGATGATTTGTAAAATAGGCGATATGATTTTAGGAACTCTAAGAGACGGGTTGAGATGCAGTACGGCCAAAGCGTTTTTGAGGCCAATCAAAGACCGTCCAAACCTTCACATCAGCTTACACACGCATGTTTTAAAAATCGTGATCGAAAACGACCGAGCCACGGGCGTGCTGATATCCAAACTGGGGACAATACCGACGCTGGTGAGAGCCGAGAAAGAAGTGGTACTGTCGGCGGGTGCAATTAATTCGCCCCACCTGTTGATGTTGTCCGGTATAGGGCCTGCTGATAAGATACGTAAGGCCGGCGTTGAAATCACCAAACACATACCCGGAGTGGGACAGAACCTGCAAGACCACATTGCGATGGGTGGGGTCACATATTTGTTCGATTCACCAGATGAATCCAACCCCCTCGGTCTGGGCATAGTCTTGCCGAGAGTGTTGACGCTCAACTCATTCATCCAATTCTTCAGGGACAAAATGGGACCACTCTACAGGATACCACTTGGCGAAGCCATGGGTTTTGTAAACACGCGGTAAGTGAGCTTTCGTTTTGGGAATTAAAGATAAAAAGCTATTATTATTTTTCCCGTTACAGCTACAACGATGATTTCGACTGGCCAGACGTTCAACTTTTTATGGCAACGGCCGGAGACAACGACGATGGTGGTCTATTGAACAAACGAGATGTGGGCATCACCGACGAGTACTACGATCAAGTTTTCGAACCCATACTATACCGAGACGCATTCACGATAGCACCGTTGGTGCTGAGACCGCACAGCCGAGGCTACATAGAGATCACAAGTTCTAACCCGTACGCGGCCCCAAAAATCGTGCCAAACTACTTCAGCGACCCACGGGATGTCAGAACCATGGTAGAGGGTGCCAAAATTGGATATGCCATCAGCCGTACAGTGGCCATGAGCAAGATCAACACAACTTTACATAACATCCCTACACCAGGATGTGAGTGTTACGAGTTTTTGTCCGACGAATACTGGGAATGCCAGGCCCGTCATTACACGATGACAATTTACCACCCAGTCGGCACGTGTAAGATGGGTCCGGTGGACGACGAGTATGCCGTGGTGGATGAGCGGTTGAGGGTGAGGGGCATCAGGGGCTTAAGGGTTGTTGACGCGTCTATAATGCCTACGATAGTTAACGGAAACACCAACGCTCCAACGATTATGATCGCGGAAAAGGCTTCCGACATGATCAAGCAAGATTGGGCCGGACACACGCAAACACTTAAGACACGGTATATCAAGAAGACGGTCAGGAAATGGTGGTAAGCCATTGTCCAAACATTTCTGAATATCGGCTCAAAATGTTTGATAAATACATTTATAAAAATGGAATTTAAATGACAAAATTATTATTGATATTTATGTTTTTTGTACTTATGTCTAACCAGTAACGGCGATTATTATCTCAATAATATTGGTTGTGTACCTACCAAGGGTATAAATCAGAACCTAGGGGGGGATAACAATATCATAAAAAATTACTAAGAACCAACAAAATTGCTTTTTTAAATAACAGAAAATAGATATACGACATAGATAAACGATGTACACATGTATAAGTTTATTATTTACAATTAAAAAAATTACTATAATTTCTCATTTGTCTAGGGGAAGTGACTTGTCATCCCTTTGCACCCTCCAACGGCCCTCTTGGTACCTATCTATTAATACGGATGAAATTAGTTGTATTGTTCAGTTACATTAATAAATAAATGAATGTTTACTAATTAAAACATGATAACCATTAAGATGTATATGATAACATAAAATGTATAACATCTGTAAATCGTATATAATTTTCAATTGCTTACACCAGGCCCGTATACAGGGAGGGGGGGCTTTATGGGTTCAACCCCTCCCCCCCCCCCCGAAATTTTTAAAGTAGGTATATCTTTATAATATAATATAATTAAGTATTTTTAGTTGATTACTTGATGTATTAAAAATATTTTAACCCTCCCCCCTCAAAAAAAAAATTGATCCTTGATACGTGCTTGGCTCACACTTTTTTATATGTCATTATTTATCTCGGACACTGACATCGTCAAGGATGATTTAAAAATTAATTTTAGTAAATTATTATTTTATATTATAAATACCATAGTATCTTATAACTTAATAGTTAATAGTGTGGTTTTAAGTGTGTAAACTATTTGTTATTTATTTGTAATAATAATTAAAAATATTATATTTATTGAAAAGAGTTAAGTATTACAAATGTTTTGTAACTTTGTAAGTAAATAGGTACCTATACTGAAATCAGTACTGCATTATGTGGGAATTATATGAGTATAATATGTATGATATGATATTATAATAATAAATACATTCTACACATATGTTAATTTTAAAGCGGTATTCGAGAATGTAATAATTCGTATATTTTACTAATGGAACCACGAAGATTCACACTCATCGAATTGAATTTTTCGGGGGTTCCGTGATCACGCCCCATACTTTTTTTAAAAGCCTATTTTTCACACATGCACTCAAAACTGGTTTCTAGAGAACTAGTTAGTCGTTCGACTGGGATATCCGAAAGTAAAAAAAAAAACTGTTTTTCTCCTTATGCGTTTTTACTTTCTTATATACCCACTCTGCAGATTATTATGATTATAACACTACACTACTGGACTTGAAACAATAGAGAAAGTTGATTGGCCACGGGACATCTAAGCGCCAAGTCGATATATTATATTTTCAATCGATTAATATATTTTTCAAGACCAGATATCGAGTTCAGTGTAGAATAAATGTTCGGAGCCTTCGGTTATGGCTGAAATGACTGCGTCGGATAATTATATTCGGATCGTCGTCGTAACTCGTCGTAACTACAGAACTGGCACCTAAATCACGACATACGCGTCCCGCGTCCGAGCGTGTGCTACAATCCGCATCCGCGTTTGTGCGTAAATATCGGTTTTTCAATTTAAATTGGTGCCACACGCACAATACATAATACAGTTGTTATAATAAATTACACATCACTCGCAGGACTGCCGATCATGACGTCTTCCGGCGGAAGTTGCGAGTGTTCGTGGTCCGACTCGTCGTTCCTGTCCGGTTCGTGTGGCAACACCGGCGGCCTGGCGTTCTTCATGTCTTTGGTGGACCTGGTGATCCGGTCACAGTGCTCGGTGACGGACCCGTGCCGTCGGGCCACCGGGCGCCGGCAGTTCCCGGCCGGTCCAGTGTACCCGGAGGAACTGGACTTCGTGGTGGTCGGCGGCGGAGTGGCCGGTTCCGTGGTAGCTTCCCGGCTGAGCGAGGTGGCCGGCTGGACGGTGGGACTGCTGGAGGCCGGGCCCGAAGAGCCGTCAGCCACGTCGGTGCCGGCGTTCGCGTCGGCCGCAATGGGCACCGATCTGGACTGGCGGTACCTGACCGAGCCGCAAGGTAACGCGTGCCTGGGCGCTGGTGGAATATGCGCGTGGCCGAGGGGCAAGATGTTGGGCGGCACGGGGGCCATGACGGGCATGATGTACTCGAGGGGCCACCGGCGTGTGTACGACGGGTGGCGTGAATCGGGGGCAGTGGGCTGGGGCTACGACGACGTGCTGCCGTACTTCAAGAAGTCCGAGCGCAACATGGACACCGACATGGTGGAGCCCGAGTACCACGGGTTCGACGGTCCCGTGTCCGTTCAGCGGTTCGCTCACCATCCCGAGATGGCCGAGTCCATCGTGCAGGCCGGCGTCGAGCTAGGCTACAGGACCGGTGACCTCAACGGACACAATCAAACAGGTACGTACAAATGTACAATATTGTAATAGTGACTACCTACCACGTTTTCTGTATTTATTAGTGAGACGACCGTCAAGGTATAAATATTATAATATAAAATAAAAACGATATCATTACAGAGTTGTAGGTATTTGAATATATTATTTTGGAAGAATTTAAAGTTTTGTAATGACTACGATTCTATGTAATAATATAGTAATATAGTCTGTGTGTGTGTGTGTGTGTGTGTGTGTGTGTGTGTGTGTGGGGGGGGGGGGGGGGTAGTCCTCTTATTGGTATTATTATAATTTCGAAATAAGCCCAAATAGTGTTTATGGTAATCGATTATTTTGTACGTGCTCGTGATGCCTTGCTGTAGTCCAAATGGTCTAAAACCTGATTTTCCCAAATCCGATGCCATGATCTGTTATAAAATGGTTAGTAATAAAGTATACTGTCGGAATTTGTACGTCGGATTCCAGCTACCAAAGCACCAATTATTGTTTTTCCGTTACAGGATAAACTTCGTGCTATGGCCTATGAGTGTATTATACATACAATATTACTATGAATATTACTATGTATATAACTATACATATTTTAGTGAAAATACTTTTTTGGTCTTTATTAATATTTAAAAAATAATGATTCTAATAAAATAAACATTATATTCTAATCTGTAAATTAAAAATATTATAATATTTATAATAAAAACGATTAATGAAAGTTTTGTAAAAAGTAGTTTGTCGAGATATACTGTGCCTTATTTTTCTTATAGATACGAGTTTATATACTATGTGAATCGCCAAATAATAACGGTACGTCTCGCCAGGACGGAGAAATACGTGTAGGTATAATCTTTGGAATTGGGTCCGTATAGACGACAGTATTATACCTGTCCTATATAGTTATATATTAAAAACAGGTTTATGATTTTTGTCGCATTGCCATTTTATTTAAACATTTTAAATTCTAATTATTGAGATTATCAGTAGAAAATTCGGTTATATTGAAGTTTTTCTGAAATAGTAAAAAATTCATGTTCATATAATGTAAAACTATTCAAATTCGTATACAATACCAACACTGATACACAATGCAACCATGAATAGAATAACTTAACATGTATTAAAATTATATTGATGAGCTTAAAATATAATTTCGTGTTAAATTATAATGTTACAAGTTACAACTTACTATGGTAAATATCATCAAAGAGATAAAAAAGTTGTATATTTCCAAATAAAATTGTATCCAATTGACATGGTCATGAAGTTAGCCCCCACCATCATAAAAATTATCTAAACTAGCTCAAATATTTAGCAAATTAATTGCAAATAATTACAAATTGATTTTTAGAATTTGCAAATCAAGTTCAAAGTCGCAAATCATAAAATAGGTTTGTTGGGTGGGGGGGGGGGCTAAATTCATTCATCCCCACCCCACTTTGTCCGGTTCGTTCCAAACCAGCATCAATATTTAGCAAATTAATTGAAATTAATTTACTTCAACTAAAATTGCATGTACAAAATACATACAAGATAAAATAACAGAATTATGTATATTCATTTCCAAGAATTATAATGAATCGAAATATATATGTCATATGTCCTAAAACACCAATTTCTCTCGTACCAAAAATCATTATAATACCTATAATTTGAATCTATTTCTTTTATTTCATCACGTGAATATGTGAATGTTCAAGATTCCTTATAACTATAGCTAGCGTGTTCAATTTAGATATTTTAGTTGTAATTTTCAAATGGTGACACAAATTTGTATAAAGTCACGATAGACAAACGTAGGTGATTCAAGGTAGTAGGGTTATTACTTATTTAGCGCAAATCTAATTTGAAATATATCATGTTTACTTGCTTTAACGATATAAATATTTATATAAATTGGCGTTATCAAATATAAAACTTAATCTAATACCTATGAGTTATACACTATATTATAGTAATTAGTATAATGGTTAACATTACGTTTTATTGATTTATAAAAAAATGTATTATTTATTTTATTAATTCAATTAAATAAGTATGTTTTATTGGGAGAGAGGCTTTAGATATTATGGGAGAGGAACAACCGACCGGCCTGGAAATAAAAAAAAATTAATATATTGGATTATTTTTAATTAATTGATATTTGGTAACATTTTCACATATTTTATTATAATATGTTATAGCTAGGATATTTTGATTGTGTTTTTGGTAGGTACTTATTAAAGTGGTTATGAAATATAATATACGTAGCGATGAATTAGTATTAGAAATTCTCAAACGTACGTGCAGTCATAGTTTGGCGGAGAATAAGTTAAATACCTATAGGTATGTCATAATATGAGACGTCTTAGTATTTATCCCGTTTATATTATTATCGCGCCAGAGGAAATGAACACATTTAATACATATACCTATATGTAACCATGAATTGTCTGTAGTCTTACAGTTCTACCTCTACTTATACAGTGTACGGCTAACGGGGTACTAATAGTTTTTGACAAGACATTTAAGTAACACCTACGATATACATTCGTATAATATTATGATGTATTATTATAAACAGTTTATTGGTTGATTTCATCACAGAATTTCACATTATAGGCACAGCTATTATCGATGAAAATATATATATTTAGCCAGCGGTGGTGCACTGAATAGCAACGCGTTGTGTATAGTTTAACATTGGGTTTATTTTTTTATACGTTTTCAAACAAATCCGACACGGTAATATACACTGGTAGTTCATACAGTCGCGAGTCGTACCTATATAATACGCCATTGTGCGTAATGCGTATTGTGCTGAGAGAATGTAAAAATGTGATTCCAAATATAATATATATATAATATTATATAATATACAATCCTATTTCGGAAAATCGCTATAGCCAGATCACCCGTTCCAAATACCGAGGATTTTTTTAAGAAGAAGATGTTAATACTTGGGTTTTTACTTGTTTTAGTGTTACATCATGGTGTTACTATAGCTGGAATAATATTAAAATATACTTTTTTTTTAACAAAATCGTGAGATTAATCTATCGTTTTGGGTTTTCCGCAGGATTCTCCATAGCTCAGGTGATGGTGCACGGCGGTCTGCGGATGAGCACTTCGCGAGCGTACCTGCGGCCTGCCCACGACAGGCCCAACCTGTTCGTGAAGATCAACAGCCGAGTTACCGGGTTGGTGTTGAACAAGCTAAACAACCGCGTGCAGGGTGTCAAGTACGTGGACCAGTACGGTGAGCACATGGTGCGCGCCCGGAAGGAAGTGATCCTGTCGGCGGGTGTGGTCGGTTCCGCGCACTTGCTCCTGGTGTCCGGCATTGGACCTGCTGAGGAACTGCTCCAGGCTGGTGTCACTGTTTTCCAGGATCTGCCGGTCGGTCGGAACCTGCAGCACCACGTGTCTGTCAGCGTCGCTGCCACAGTGAACGCGTCAGAGGAGGCCCACTACTTGACCATGGACGCGGTGTCCGAGTTCTTGGCCACGCGCACCGGCCCACTGGCCAGCACGGGACTCACGCAGACCACAGGATTTTTGACCACCTCATACTCAGTCAACGGGGTGAGTTATATTTGTTTAGATATAATTGGTTAGATCGTCGTCTAACAGTGGCAACGATTAACTCGCGGTGATCGATTGCCGATATGTGTGCATCACTACATAAAACCAATTTGACGATCGACAATATAATATATAGTTTTTGGATATAATTTATATAGGTGTCGTATAATGGTTAATAAAATATATACTTACGTATGTTAGGTACCCGATGCACAGGTGTACTTCGATGGTCTCGCACCCAACTGTGACAAGATCCCCGTGGATCCAGATGGTCCGGCGTACCGCAAGTTTGAGGGTTCGAGGGCGTACGTGTGGGCCAGACCTACGTACCTGTTGACAAGGAGCAAGGGCTACATCGCACTGCGGACTGGCAACCCGTTGGATGACCCGATCATCCAGCCAAATTACTTCCAAGACCCACGGGACGTGCTGGCCATGGTGGAAAGCATACGGGTCGTGTTGGCACTGATGGACACCCAGGCGTTGAGCAAGTGGGACATGCAACCGGACACTACACCATATCAGGGATGCTCACAGCACGTGTACGGCACAGACGCGTACTGGGCGTGCGTGGTGGTCACCGACACGAAACCCGAGAACCACCATTCGGGAACTTGCAAGATGGGACCGATCGACGATCCGGAGACGGTGGTCGACCCGGAGCTCAGGGTACTGGGTGTGGCAAACCTGAGGGTGATGGACGCGTCTGTGTTTCCCACCGGGCCCAACTGCAATCCCATGGCGCCAGTTATAATGGTAGCCGAGAAGGGATCGGATATGGTCAAGCAGACGTGGAGTGCATATGCACACGAGAACAACGTGCCACCTTACAAAAAGCCAAGGACGGCATGATGATATTATATCTAGTGATTATAGCGATATCGCGAACCTAACCCATGTGGTCATGTTTATTGTTTGTGTATATATATAGGACCAATTCACCATTATTTATTTACTTCACATTTCTTGGATTATGTAAAGGTATTATTATCGTAATGTATATTAAGCAGTAGATTAGGTACCGAGAACCCCAATTTCGGCAAAACTAGGTACATGTTTTAACTTTTAAGTGTATATTTATTTGTGTTGAAAAATAAATCCTCAATGTAAAAAGAGTTGTAATAGGTATTTCTCTGAGTAGGTACATAGTACATACTATTAGAATTTATTAACGATTATAACTTTTAAGAGATAAAAACATATAATATTTAATTTCCAAAATCTTTGAGAATTGTATTTATATAGTATAAATATATTATACCTACGCGGCTACGCTTAAATAAGATAGAATGTCTAAGTTATTCAAGTGTTTTTGATTATTTTTGGAACAAAAATATCTGGACAAAAGTTAAGATTGTATGAAATAAGAACTAAGAATACAATTCAATATATATTATAAAAATCAAGAATCTAACAGAAGTGAACTTTTAGGATTAAGTAATAACTGTGGAAAATATTATACTTCAAATATAGGACGTTTACCTGATAAACAATAGATTTTGGAAAAGGAACAACTGGAGTCTAGTTACTAGACTATAAAAGTCAGACGAGCTTGTGATTTTTTTAAATCAGCTAAGTTAAGTTAATACGAGTTAATCAAAAAAAGTAGTGAACTAAATTGTTGCTTAACTTAGTTAATTTAAAAGTTAATTTATTATGCATTGTTTTAATTTTAAAAGTTATTTTTTTGTATAAAGACACTAGCATACTTAATTTATTACTAACTCGAAACTATGTAGGTAGTGTTTAATGTTGTTTATATATAATATTTCATTGATGTTTTTCGTCACCAAAAAAAATAAAATTGTTGCAATTAGTAAGGATAGCAGTTTAATATTTATAATTTGTTATTATAATAATATATAATATTACCTACGGTTCTAAATCGTACTATTCTACATTACGATTACGATATTAAACACGGATCCTAGTATTGCCTATTAGGTACAATAGGTAATAGTTTTCGAATAATGTCAGTCTTCAAAAATAATAAAACTATAGTCTATTTTTAACACTGTTTTCGTGATTACCATTTGTTGATACTTATTAATTTTATTGTCAATAAGTTAATTTCAACTTAGAAATTCACACAAAACATTACCTGAAATAATTTTTGACAAGAAAAAAAATCGATTGAAATGTAAAACAAAACTAAATTAATTAACTTATCTTCTTCAAATGAACATTTAATTCGTTGATTTCACGTTAGTGAAAAAAAAATTTTAAGTTAGTATAGGTAGATAAATATTAACAAAGACCCAAAACTAATTAGTCAATGCCCAGCATTGGTTTTCAACCTTTAAATTTCTTTGAAAAAATGATGGTACTATTTATTATAGACTATAGTCTATAGAGAATAAAATAAATAATAATATATTATACATTTATAATATTTATTTATTTTAGATTCTGAGTGGAGCGAGGAAGCTTGTGATTTTACAATGGTATTTATTTTGTTTTTTATCCTGTATACAAAATTTCTACCAGAAGGAATGCTTCGATTTCAACACATAGTATCTCATCTTTTAGCATATTGGATCAAAATGGTACTATAAAAATGTCATTTTTCGATTTTCCCAATAGTTATTTAATGCCACGGGAAAAATCACTGACAAATTACGAAAAACCTCTAAAAAGGGGATTTTAATTTCTAACACTTTGTTTGTTTTTTTTTTTTTTTATTGAGCTTGAGCCCAGCAGCTTAGGCCATTAGCTATTTCCATTAGGTATTTCCCATTAGCTATCTCCTCTCAGAATCGTTTTTCTTATACAATGATATTAATATATTATATCATTGAATTCAAGTTCAATCCATTATACGTTGACCCACTTGTAACCTACTGTACAGCAGAACTACATCCACTTACCCTCTTTTTTATTTTTATTTTCTATATTTAATAATAAATGTATTAATAGTACCTAAATAATATTAAGTAATATTTTATAATATTCTGTAAACGTATTATTTGGAATTTATTGGTATCCCTTAAGTTTTGATTTGTTGTTAATCTACCGACTGTAATGTATACGAAATACCAATATACTATACATTTTAATACCAATATTATACTCAAGTTATTACGCAATATAATACTCACAGTCAATAGTCATTAATTATTATTACTCTTATTCTATCGTTAATCATCTGTCCTCTCTGTGCAAAGTTTGTGTGCCACGTTGATACAATGAATCTTCGTAGCTTAAGTTCATCGATTCATTAATTTGTTTTAACCGGATCTGAATGCAATGTTATGTATTAAATAAATAACTATTTATAAATATAACAATAATATCACTAAATTGTCATAGTTTTTCGTGGACATTTTGAAGAGTTTGGTGTTTCTCAACGCACCCGGGGGCCGGGAGAAAACTATATCACGTTGTGTACATTCGTATGAACAATAAATAATGATTAAAAACAATTCGGGTCCAGGATGATCATCGGACCGAAACAAATGAGTTCAGTGTAATACGTCCTAGATTTTCGTTTTTCGTTTAAATACATTTCGTCATAACAATATAATAACAAAACGGTATAGACTATTATAGGCACACAATGATGAAACGTTAATTTTCGGGCACAATTCCAACAATCTATTTAAATTGTAATTTGTAAGTTTTTATTGACTTTAAGTTTGACTTGTGATATACAACTAAAAAAGTACTGTATATTACGATATCTTCTTTTGAAATTATTATTTATTTACAGATTAATATTAACCTATTTTAATGTTTGAACAAACGTACAAATGCAATTTTTTATAATTATATAATATAAGTATTTGGTCGTAATTTATGCATGCACGAATAGTCATCATTAAAATACTTTTACACCACACTTGCAGTATTGTAAATACGAAAGTCGGAATTTATAATACAAGGAAATGTATACTATGTAGTATGTGGTGCTTCGTTACATTAAAAACAATAGTGAAAGTACATGTAATATAAAAATGTATTAAATCATTAAATATTTACTTCATAATGCATAGATATGAAGTATTTAAATAATTATAATCAACGTTATGGTGTATTATAAAAATATAAAATGACTTTACAGATTCCTACATAGAAAAAAAAATAATGTTAGTTCTTATACATTAATCGCCAATCGTACACTATTCTTATACCGATCGTTTATCTGTGGTTATTAAAATATAACACTATATAATAGTGTGTAGTGTTTTTCTAAGACATTATCATCAGTTTGATTACATATATTATATAAAATTTAAAATATAATAGTTTATTATATTATAATATACTAGCTGATCCCGGGCACTTCGTTGTAGTACTAATGATCATATTTCTGAAAAAATTCGTTCAAAAAAAAAATTTGAAATTTGAAAATGAATAATACACCATTCGATAAAACAGCATATCTTTAAAGAAAATTTAGAAATTATTTTCTTTTACTTACATTAAAGAAATATATAAGTGTTAACCACACTCATCTAGTTATCTAGATCAATAAAAATAAATAAAACAAATAGTTGCACTTAGCTCAGACTTGACCTAGGAGTTTTGCTTCAGTGAATATCGATAGTAAATGTCGATATAGTTGAACAATTATTGTGGTGAGCCACACATAGACTGCCGACTGGTAAGTTATATATGTAGTAAATAGCCTTGATTAAAAAGTAAAAAATCCCTTAAACGATAAAACTCTAAATATATTATGATGTGTCAATGTGTGACCTTCAGGAGAAACTTTAACAGAAATAACTGCGTGATCTTTGACCAAAATAACACCTATACCAGCTTACTATTGCAGATATAAATATTATAATATTACCTGTACAAATATAATATAAAAAGAACAATACCTGTATATGCAGAAAAATTGGCTTTTATAAATACATACTTGAAAAAAAACTGGTTTGGGTTCGTTTGTAAGAATAATAATTACAATTATAATCTTGTTGGTTAATTTAATTGTTCGTATTTGTACTACGTACGCACAATCTTAATAGAATTCTTCGACGATAGTAAAATATTATAAACCTCTAATCAGAGTTAATGAAAAAAACACACGATTCATTATTCATTAATGTGGGTTTCATTATTATTATACATTTTTAGTTCTAAAATGTAATATCTATTTTATACATTTTACTACATTTTCGTATTAAATTCTGGTTGGAGCCAACCACCAAAAACAAATTACATTAACAATGAGTTATTATATTTTTTTCATTTGGTAAAAAAAAAGTACTTAATAATTTCATAATAGGTTATAGATATTTATTATCCATCTATATAGAATAAAAATATATAATTGGCATATATAGCACTAAGTTACGTAGTTCAACGTTTAACTAAATATAGTAACATTTTTTAATTTCTTATCAACCTTCCTGAAAATTAAAAAAAATACGGAAGATTGTTTTTACACAAAAACAATTATATAAAAAAAAATGTTTATGTTAGTTCCTCACATTAAAAAAAATTACCTATGTTTAGAGCTCGGAAGTTGTAAGAGCTAAAAAAGAAAAATATGTACGAAAAAATTCAAAATTCCAAAAAAAAACATTTTATGTCACTATTAATTTGCACTAAACAAATAACAATATATGTAGATGAAATATGAAAAAATAGTTAAAAAAATATAGTCGAAAATATAGTACATTAGGATATTAATACGATATAGGTTAAGTGCACATCGCACCCGTTGTCGCTAAATTAATATTCAAGGTATAAAAATAAATATCTACATTAAAATATAATATTGAGTTTGATATTAAAATACACAGCTTAAAGAAGAAAAAAACAATTTTTTTATAAAATATAAAGCATGCATAATATTATGCATATGAAAATTAAGAAATATGCACATTTTTCTTATAATTGACAAAATATAAATTTTAAATGTTTGATTTTGAAGAACATTATAATAATATTGGTTAGCTCAGATTTTCTAGCTTGGTCTGCTATAATTCAAGAGCAAATAGAATAATATGCTACTCCTACAACTTCTGAGCAGCTTTACGTCATGTTAGTTCCTAATTTCCTATACCTACTACCTAATCGTGTATCTGTTATTATATCTTATACATATAAATATATAATTCTTCTGTCCATGTGTTAGTACTCAAACTCCTCCTAAACGGCTGCACCAACATTGTTTGGGGGTGCTTAAGTAGGCTCAACCCGGGAAGGTGCTCAAACGGGGATTTTTTGAAATTTTATTTATAAATGGAGAAATAATTACTAAAAATTTGTATTTATTTATTATTGGTTTCCATTGGTTATTCGGACAGATGAGGTACAAGTATGTATCAAATCTAATTTTCACACATTGCCTACCAGGGTGGCTGAGTTACACCCAAAATGAGTGTCACAATATTTCACAATTTTTTTAAGAGTTGTAATTTTTTTACGGGCAACGAAGTGCGGGGGATCAGATAGTATATTATTATAATATAATAAACTAATATATTAATTTTATATAATATATGTAATCAAACTGATGATAATGTCTTAGAAAAACACTACACACTATTATAGTATTATATTTTAATAACCACAAATAAGCGATCGGTATAAGAATAGTGTACGATTGCCGATTGATGTATAAGAACTAACATTATTTTTTTTTCTGTGTAGGAATCTATAAAATCATTTTATATTTTTATAATACATATAACCGTTATTGTAAAATATAAATGCATAATATTTTTGGAGAATGATGTTCAAATGCCCTTTACTTAACATATTAAATAAAATGTTTTAGTATTTTAAAACTTATTTATTATAAAATAATGAAAAACAAAAAAATGAATTCAAAGTATATTGCTAAATATTTATTGACGCAATATAAAACATTATGCAATATTTTTTTACTATTTGTGATACTTACCAAATATTGTTCAGATAATAGTTTGGTTTATTTTTTATCCGTTTAGTAATAATAATAGGTACACTTTTAAAAAGAATAAGAAAAAAAACCCCAAAATATCTCAATGACTCGTGACTATTAAATATACAGTAGGTACCTTCAGAAATATAATATAAAATAAATAATGCATAAATTGAATACACAAGTATTTATTATAACTTTTAAGTATAATATTATATTAGTTATACAATTTCATAAAATATTTAAGAAATAATAAAAAATCTAATCATACAACCTACTAAAAATATTTTAATATGTTTCCCACTCAAATACTTACATAATATACATTATTATATTTTTATTAAAATACCATAATTTTTAACAATAATAAATTAATACAACACATAAATAATATTTGTATACAAATAATTGTATTTAATAACGTCTTAAAAAGGTTTTTTTTTATAATGTTAAAATAAATATACAATGTTTCACAGATAATTGTACTGGCAACATGTGACTTTTAATTCGTATAGGTAAGTAAAAATACGTATTAAGTAGACTACTCCATAAATTCTTTTCTTTTTTTTTTATCAAATACATTCTTTAGATTTAAAATTTTGAAAGTAAAACTTTATTTTATTCTGTGAGTTTAAAAATGTTGATTGTTGATAGATTGTTAGTTGTGACTTATTATTATAGGTACAATATACTTTAATATTATAGGTAATATAACATAAATACAATATATATTATACGATTTTTAAATTCAAATTTAAGAAATTCTGTAATTTAGCCAGTAAAACATGCTTTTTAGAGTAAGAAAAAAAGTTTTTATTAAACCTCTACTACCTCGATAGTTTAATGTTGGTTTTGGTTAACAAACATAGTAATATACATTTTGCTTTTTTGTCAATACTAGAGCACGTAACTATGTGGCTATGAATCATAGCCTATGATAGGAGTCAATTATCGTTTGTTGGTTTTATCGTGAATGTTATTGACACTTGGAGGGAAAAAAAATATCACGCTTGGCTCAGCAATACGAAAATGATCAATCTATATCGAGCGGATCACGAGGAATGTTTAATTTTTAATTTTGTAGTGTTTAGTTCTTTAATTTTTTAAAAATAAATTATTTTACTTAGTTTATGTTATGTGTACAAATTAAATAGTTATTCTAGTGAAACATTTCAATACCATCGACGATACAAATCTAATTATCAATAGGTATGTAATAATTAATTTACTTAAGACAGTTATTCAAATTTTGGTTCAAGATATATGTTGATTTAAATTTATAAAATTTATACAATTTAAAGGAGACAATCATAAAAATATAACTGTTTTGAAAATATATAAAAATGCCTATAAATATATCTTTAGGGACAAAATTTTTTTGAACTAAATTGGTTTTAAGTGAAAAATGGTAATTTAAAAACAATGTAAGCATTTTAATGGGAGCGATGAATGTATTGGTTTTACAATGATGAGTGTTTTTTTAAATAAAGATTTTTTTTTTATCTTGTTTTAAGTTCAAAAATATGCTTCAACTATGATAAGTTTCTGATACCTTGGAATTTGGATCTAGTAAGTTCCCTTCGGAAAGTAAGAATTAGAAAATATCAGTCTACTTTAAAATAATTGGAGCACCCTAACAAAAAATAAGGAAAAAATATTTGTGAGAATAATATTTACAAAAGTTTTCGACATTGTCTATGCATTTATATTTGTTTTATGATTCTCAAAGGAATAATCATAGAGATTTAATTTGTTTGCCAAATATTGGATGATAGAATTTTCAAAATATTTTGGCTTTTTTATCTTCCTATTTATAGATATTACTCTGGTTTATTTTTGATAAATGAAGATAAAAAATGAGTCAGAATTGAGTAGCCCTTGATTGATTTATTAAATTTTAGTAAAAAATTAAATAAATTAATATTAAGTATATCAGTATATTATTGTAATTCATATTAAAAGTGGTATTACTTAAACCGAGTTTTTTTAAATTAAAATTTAGTGTTTAAATACCCCCAACCTAAAACTACTTAAAAAAATATAGTCAAAATAATTTACTGATAAAAGTGTTCCATCTATCTATCTATATAATTTATGAGCAAATATAAATTAACAAGATCGCACAATTTTTCATAGTAAATTATAAAAATATTAAACATTTCATATATCAGTAATTGTATCCAATTAAATCGTTTAAACACATTTTCATAATTCCTATTAGAATCACACAATTAAGGTATTTTCTAACAGTTATACCTATACCATGGCTAAGTATATGAAAAAAAATAACTCAAATATAAATATTTGTTTAAAAATATATATGCACCTATTATTGAATAAGTAGGCTACGAAGAAATTAAACTGCTGTATAAATGTGCAATTGAACGTAAAAACGTTGCAAAAATACTGTTAAACGTTGTATTCTGTGTAAATTCTATCTATTTAGGTTCACAATAAATTATGCAATGAGGAAAATATATAGGAATATAATTTGACACGGGTGGCCACTGGCCATTAGATGAATATTGGTTTAAACACGATCACAGTTCAATGGCTTTTGATGATACCTATACATTCTTTAGAGTTTAGACAATAAATTGCGATTTAACAATTCAACGTAAGCATATTTTGTGCACGTCAAAACAGTAACGATATAAAATATATTTTGGAGTATTCTCGAATATTAATAAACAACAAACGAGATAACCGCCGATTTGAGTCGGGAGTAAAATTTTGAATTTATAATATTATATAATTTCGAAATGTATGCTGGGAATGTACGAGCTATATTTTACTCATCGACTTTTAATAAATTTGGATTTAATACTGAATAGGTATTGTTTTTATTGTTAATTTAAATTTTGAGTAGAGCAACGAATGTATTGATTTTACAACGATGATGTGATGACCTTTTGTTTCAATAAAAATGGTTTTGAACTTAAAAAATGTTTAACTTAAATACATTTTTGGTAGAAAAGTGAATCTAGTTATTACATGGGGGGAGGGGGGGGTTAAAAGTACTTTTCTTAATCATTGGAATAAACAAAAATCAGTTTATGACGAAATTGATTTTCTTATTTGGTTGTAAATATTACCATAAACGGATAATCGTAATAGTTGAAAAGTTGAAATGTTCACTTAAATGTTTGTATTAGGATTTTCTATAAATGGTTTAATTTTCAAAATAAACGTTGACTCTTATCTAGCTATTTATAATAATATGAAATTTTTAATTTTTTTTTATAAATATCAATAATATTTGTCGCTTGGTCACAATTTTGTTGTACCTAAATATTATCCTAGCGGTCTTGAAACGTTTACGTATAATATAAAATTGTATATACGGAATGAAAGAGTCAAACATTTAGATTGAATTGTATGCTATTTCCTATTCATAATACCACGAGTATGTTGTCATCGCTGATTTAGAATTTAATAACAATAATTGAATAATATAATAAATGCAATATTATCAGCAAAATTGTATTGTGAATTCAAATTGAACACATATATTAATTATTAATTGGCATTCTGACTCAATCAATGATTAGGTACATACTGTACCGCAGAGTGTTTATACCTACTAATTACTATCCTTTTTTTTTTTCGTTTTGTATGTAACTCGATGGCGCTTTTCTAGTTATAGTTGAACATCTCATCGTTCGTGCATGATTGTCGGCAGAATCTACCAAACTACTAAAAACTATGACGAAACACTATCCCACGCCGTTCACGCCCAAAGACTCGACCGAAATGTGCATGCAGGCCAGAAAGCCGCTGTCGGCCTGCCACACGGAGAACTTTGTGTTCCTCAGGTTCCTCATGCATTTGTTTGGGTACACCGTTGACGGACCACCGGCGCCGAAGGATAATAACGTACTAATTGAATCCGCCACGACGGACACTCGGACCGAGTTGCATTTCTTGGATGGTTATCAACATCTGTTCGATGAAACGTTTATGTCCGTGTTCCAGAAAAATAGGCGAAAAAGAGCCGTGGACGATCAGTACGATTTCGTGATAGTCGGTGCGGGATCTGCGGGCTGCGTCGTCGCAAACAGATTGTCGGAGATTAAAGACTGGAAGGTACTTTTAAGTTATGCTACATTAAATTATTACATTTACAGGAGTCAGGAACTAATATCTACCCACTTCTATAGTGTGAGTGGACACTTACGCATTATATTATTACATTTTGGTCTTTTACGGAATTATACTAGGAGTTACAAAATAACAGTGATCCAATCAGCTCTAAATATTGGAGGGCTGTAGCGTCTCCATAATTTATTGTTCTTGAAGAGTGACATGTGGAGCCTACAGTTCTCTTGATTTATTGCGTATTAATTATTATAATTCAAGAAAAGTAACAACCAACATAATAATAGGGTTTTTTTACTACCTATTTAGAGCCGACATTTTTTACCATAGACTTATAAAAAATTTATATTTGATCAGTTTAAACTGATAGAAGTAAAGTATCTGTGATAGAAGTAATATTGATATTTAAGTAGAAATATCACTAGAAACAATGCGATACGATATGTTTCTTAATTGTTAGAGTATAATATTCCCACAAACAAAATCAAACCATTAATAATCATTATATAGGCTATATTATGTCAAATTAGTGTTGTTTTTACATTTCAATAGGTATTACTCCTTGAAGCCGGGATCGAGGAACCAGAATTTTCTTCTGTGCCAGGCCTTGCACCTTTACAATTGGGAAGCAAAATCGATTGGAATTATACAACACAGCCTGATGAACACAGTTGTAGGTCCAGACCAGGAGGTATGTGTGATTGGGCTAGGGGCAAAGTAATGGGTGGGTCAAGCACGATCAACTATATGATTTATACTCGAGGAAACATGGATGATTATAACGAATGGGAACGTATGGGAAACGATGGTAAGTACATTATCAAATGACTGTTAACATAATAATATACAATTAATATACAATATACATTAAAAATATTTCACCTGTTTGAAACTAATACGTAACGTAATATATTATTTTTTATGTAGAAATAATATAACTAAATTATGTTTTGTGTAAAGATGTAAGCTCGGTAAATTTACCAATTATTTTTTTACAGGTAAATATTTTTTTACCGAAAAAAATTTGTATGTGGCACCTCAAATTAAATGCCTTCACGGGGCCAATATTCATCAGTCATAACATATTAATAAAATGGAATAGTTTATATTATAAAATGTAAAACGTCCACAACCACTGATAGTGTATTACCTATACTACATAACATTAAACATACGATCACACCATAAGAATATCTGATACGATCAATTATTATAGCAATTAGTTTAAATTTGATTTTATCACAGATATAGATAATAACCCATGTTTAAAATTTTAGTAATGTTAAACTTTTCAAGGCTTTGGAGCACCGGTTAAACTTCTCTGATTATTTTTTAAATATTCTATACATAATTTTAATTATTTTTAACACATTATATATTAGAACCAGACCCTCAGTCACTAAATTTAAAAAATTTAAAAATAACGACAAATGCGGCAGAGAGGAGTTTCTGTGAGTGTTCCTATGGTAATATACCAAAATGATCAAAATTTACGTAAATTTTACATCTCTAGTTTTGTGCAAATCAACTATTTAATACATTAATACCGCCCCCCTACTATATATGTAAGCGGAGTTATTTGTAAAACAAAAAAGTGTTTTAGTATTAATATATTGATATATTGATCATTATAATAGTGCATGTACCTATATACAATAGTATATACAATATGGGTACATTATACATAGATAATAGATAATGAAATATTTCAATCTATAAAAATTAGATGTATAAATGGTTCATTAGTAAGTTATTACTTATAACTTATACGCATTTTAAGTTTAGATTAGCGAAAAAGTGGACAACATTTTGTGGAATATCCCTCGCAGTATTACTCTAGTACCTACTCTACATAGTACATATAGAAAATTATATATAAATAATATACCGAGTAAATATTAAATTTTAGTTTAAAAAAAAGAATATTTTCTAGTTTAAAAGGTATAAATTAAATTTTATTAATAAGACAAATGTCATAATAATAAAATACATAATTCACTAGGTAGGTACCTAAAAAAAAATGTTTGATTTTCTTTTTGACTTATTGGTGATATACATCTTGTTTAATGTAGTAATAAATTAATAAATATGGCTTTAATTTTTTTGTGGCATATACAAACTTAGCTACTTTACTAATAAATTTTTTTCAGGGTGGGGATATGAAGAAGTTCTTCAATATTTTAAAAAATCCGAGGATAATGAAGATCCAGAAGTTTATAAAAAAAACCAAAAGTTTCATGGCAAAGGCGGATATCTTACGGTGGAGTGGTTTCCATATGTAGACCCTACGGCAGTAGCTCTAATAAAGGTATAAAAGATATAACGTGATGCACTATAAGTAGGTATTATTTTTTTTAATTCGTCAAAATAACAAAATAGGGAAATTATATGTAGGTAACTGGCAACTGCTCTTCGGTACAGAAGGTGTCGAGTGTTTCTCGTCATTGAGTAGGCATGTCACTGTAATGCACCTACATGTGTTAAATTTAAATTCAATGATAAATCATTGCATACGAAAAAATATTTTCAGCCAAGCCGTAGGTACCACCGAAGTATATTTTATGATATAATTTTATTGCTATTAAAGTAATAACTATATTTTACTATTAGTAATACGCGGTAGGTTATTGAATTACTTTATGCTGAAAACATAGCATTTATTATATAATTAATGTTTAATTATTGTCATAGTACAATATATTTATATATTCATATCATGTACTATTGTTATTGACTTTTGGGTCAATACCCAATTACCTAACGGTGTGAATAGGTTCGTAGAATAGATGGGAAATAGCATAAAATTATTTAAAATTTCAGCCTGTATATTATGTAAAATATAATCATATACGTAAATCTTTCAATTCTTTCACGAATAATATTTAGAACCAAATAACTAAAATCGTTCTCCTTCGTTTATATATCTAATATCATCCAATTTTAAATTTCAAATGTAAGTACATAAAATAATTATTGTATTTAAATATTTTTAGATTATTTTATTTCAGTATGAAATATTTATGAGGCACCTTGTAATAGTTTTTAAGCTTTTTGACCAAGCGAACATTTTTTTTTCGATATTTACAGAAACAAACTTAAAACGTAGCATATTACTAGATATTTTTTTTTCTGCTGAGAAAATTTAGAAATCACAAATATGCTTTTGGGTACAATAGTTCCGTGAAAAATATTAAGTAGCATGGTGAAATTAATTAGAATTATAAATTAATTTTTAATAGTATATTATAATATTATATATATTTTTTAATGATTTGCTTTTTTATGGTGATAGACAAAGCGTTAGGAAAAATTGGTTAGAGAAATTGGTTAAAAAAAAAAGTTGTGTCCACTCCAAAAACATATCTACGTTTAAACGATTTAAAAAATCGAAAATGTCAAAGTCTATAAATAGCTCAAAAACAGTATCAATATTAACATTTGGTGAATATTTTGAATATCTACAATAATTGTTTCAATTATATGAAAAAAACGATTTTGTCAAAAACCGGATTTATGTAAAATCGCAGTTTCCCTTTAGTTTTATTTTTTTTTTATAGTTATTTATCTTTTTTACCACCCAAACTACCAACTTCAATCACTTCTCTACCAGAAAAGATATCAGTTGTAATTCTAAGCATTTTCAGTGCTCCAAAAGGTGATGAGTGATAACAGACAAAATAAACACATACCTACATCATTGTAAAATCAATACATTCATCGCTCTGCTCAGAATCTAGATATATGTTAAATTTAGCTAACATTCATATTATAGTGTCTATATATTATATTTTTTAATTTCATCCAAAATATCCATCAAATAGTTTCATAAATGACGAGTAATAATTTTGGGTGGTTATTCAATTAAATTTTATAAAGTGATTATTATTACAGAAATATTCTAGGAATGCGATATAGATTTAATTAATTATTTTTGTAATTTATTTTATCGTTTTAGGCGTGGCAAGAGATCGGTTTGCATTATGTAGACGTAAATGCCGAAAATCAAATAGGCGTAACTCATTTACAATCGACAGCTAGGCATGGCGAACGAATGAGCACTAACAAAGCGTTCATAAGACCGATTAGAAAAAAACGGAAAAACCTAACTGTTCTAACAGACGCGCACGTGACTAGGATATTGATCGAAAAGAAACGAGCTATTGGGGTGGAGTTTTTGTACAAGAAAAAAATTAGGACGGTGTTCGCAAAAAAAGAGGTGATTCTGAGTGCCGGCAGTCTAAACTCGCCAAAAATACTGATGCTCTCCGGTATCGGGCCTAAAAAACACTTGGACAAGATGAAAATTAAAGTTGTGAAGAACTTGGCCGTTGGGAAGAACCTACAAGACCACGTCACGTCTGACGGTATTGTAATTCGAGTGAAAAAAACAGCCACTGACAAACCGCTCAAAGAGAAAAAGGAAGACGCTGTCTTGTACAAAAAAAAAAGAAAAGGTCCTCTGGCGGCCACTGGCCCATTACAATGTGGCGTATTCCTTCAAACTAAGTAAGCCGACTATAGTAAATAATTAATGTTATAAAATAATACTGTATTGTATTGTTGCTATATATACGGCGCACACAAACGCAACACATTATTCGTCCGTCTGTAGGAAACTATTAATTTAACACTGACATTTTATATTAATTGAACAATATTGCTCGCAGATACGAAGATACACTGGATCTGCCGGACATAAATTATGCATTTGACAATGGCAACGAGAAAGATTGGATAATCGACCCTGCAAATGCCACAAAATTCGGTATGTCTCCTGTTTCTTATTACGAAGCGATTAATGTGAGACCGATTTTGCTGAAACCAAAAAGTAGAGGATATATATTACTCAACGAAACTCATCCGATTTGGGGTCAACCACTGATTTATCCACGTTTCTTTACTAAAGGAAACGATCTTGATATACTCGTTGAAGGTAATGTAAACATTATACATATTGTATTACCTATCCGTAGATATAACATAAATTCAAATTCAAATAAGACAACCATCGGACATTTTCGAAAGTCTATAACAACTGATGTATACATTTATACATTGAACACTATTATTGTTATTGTTATAAATTATTCAAAAATATTTCCAATAAAGTCATTATAGTTGTATAATGATATTATATACCTAGTTAGCATAATTGTATTAAACATTCGTTTTCCTTTGGAACAATAATATTAAACAACAAACGAGGAATAAATAACTATTAGTTATAAAATAATAGTGAATGGGAACGTACAAATTATATAAAACTAATTTACAGCTAGATATAAATATATAATCGTTTTAAATAATCTGGTCTACCACTTAGGTTATATATTTTATTTTTAACGACTTACGTCCTACATTGTAGGACATGTTTTACATTCAGTCATAATACTATTCAATTATTGGTTAGAACAAATAATTTTCTGACGTAATAATGTATTGACTATACTTTGTATGTTTACACTATTATAAAATATTAACTTGATACTGTTAAAATAATAATATTAATATAATGCACGTTATGTAATTTACTTGCTACCAAGGCTGGGCATTAACGAGTTAATAAGTTAAAGTTAAGTTAAAAAGTTAAGTTACTTTTAACTAAGTTAATTAACGAGTTACTTTATTTTTAGAAGTAACTTCTAACTTAACGATTTACATTTTTCCCCATGTTATTCAGTAACTTAACGAGTTAATTAATTTTATTGGCACGTTAAGTTAATTTTTTCCCAAACCACATATTATTTAAAATTAATTCAATTTTGTAAAATTAATTACATTAAAAAAAAAACCCGAAATATTAAATATATTTTATTAAATAATAATTTATTTATAATCATAGTAAGTTTTTATATTGCATATTCACAGAAAATATTTTATAACTATATTATAGAGGGAAATATCATAGGGGTAACCGCGTCAAAGAAAAATATAACAATTTACTCAGTACCTATCCCATACACGACATATTATCACCTAACCTATACCTAATCATTATTAATATCATTACTTATTATTATATTTTTATTCATTCATAGAATTACGGTGATAACTTGGGCCCGTCGATGTAAATAATACCCGTAGTAGCGTGGTATTTACTATTTACCTAATTAAAGTATAATACACAAAATTAATATAAGTACCTACAGTAACTAATTTTATTACAAACATTTATTCAAAATATTGTAAGACATTTTTTGATTTATTGAATTATTATGTTATTTGTTAGCTTTAAAAAAGGTAGGTAGGTATAATTGTTAATTTTATTTAAAAAAAAAAGTAACTTATTTTTAACTAAGTTAAGTTACTTTTATTTTCTAATTAACTTGTAACTTTTACAAGTTAAAAAAAAAATGAAGTTAACTTTTAACTTTAAACTTAACTTACATTTTTCTATATTAACTTAACTTAACGAGTTAAAAAAAATTGTTAACTTGCCCAGCCTTGCTTGCTACTATAATATAAATAAATGATACAATAATAGTTTTTAGATTTAAATAACAATAGTTGATCGATATATCAGAAAATCTGAGAATATTAACCATTTTTTGAAAACTAGTTAAATTGAGTTATGCTAAGAAAAAAGTTACTTTACAATATAAATTAAATTGAGTAACTAAGTCAAGTTAAAATTTGTTAGGGAAATAAAAGTTACTTTTTTCTTAATTATTCGCCCTCCTATAGTCTATTTTGTATATTAACTGACGACAGTTGAGTTTTGATGTGTCTGTATTAGCAGTCTTAAATAAAAAAAAATCGAACTGTAATTTATTATACTATATTAGTGTTAGGTATCTGAAATAATAGAAGAACACAATTGATAAATTAAAATAATCATTTATTAAATTTGAAAAATGACGTTTCTTTAAAGTTGTGGTCAGATGTAGATCCTCTCTTAGCTGTTGGTTAGTAGTCGGTCACCTACACTAAATAATCGCTTCATGTGTGCATTTTATTGTACTGTAATATTATTTTATTTAATAAATACATACATATATTTAATGAAAATAACAATAATTTATAATTTATCGTAAAAAAGTAACCTGTAACTTAATTTTTAACTTTTTATCTAGTTATTGTCCAGGCACCAGTTTTAATATGTTGGTATAATCAATAATTATACATAAGGTTATTACACTTTAGTTATTTTAATATGGGTATCATTATATCTAAAATCCCCATGTTTCCTGTCAATTTAGTTTTAAACATGTTAAGTATCATCTTATGAACAATTAGATATTATACCGAATTTTTTTTTTTGGTACAGTAGAAATGAAACTAAGTCTGTCATAAATTACGTAAAATAAAAAATAAAAACAAAACAGTTAATTATTATTGTTACCACAATCTATTCTATACTTTCATACAGGTAGATTAAAACATAAAATGTGTCAACTACGATTAAAAGAAAATTTAGTTCATGTTGCTATTGTTTCACTTTCGTCTTAACCCAGTTTAAAAAAAAATTATTTTCCTTTTAACCACTCAAAGAAGTAATAGGCGTAAATGTAAATTTTAAAATAATTCACTGTTATTTATTTATGTAGCATAAGCATTATATTACCATAGATGTGTTTAATCGAAACATTTGCGAAACTGAACATTCGCTGAGATAATTACTCATTAGTAATTACGTATTTACGTAACGTTTTAGGCAACCGACATAGTGTTTTTAACCAATGTAATAGTAACAATTTGGGCAAGTTATGTTCATCCTCTTAAACGGTGATTTGTACTAGCTTAATGACTATAGTTTCTAACGTTAAATTCAGGTTAATAGTATCCAGTTGACTAAAGTGTACAATGTACATATACACATGTGTGTTTGTGTGTGTAATATTATATAGGTAATAAAATTATCAAATTTCAAAAATGTATTGTCATCTTCTATCGAATCATTATGCTTTATAATAAATTACCACACTCCACAATATTGTGTGTTAACAAATAATTTCTCGTTACACAATACATTTCTGGTAGGTAATAAAAAAAAGGGTACAATCAATTTATTATAAAAATTATTATCAAACCATTTAAAAAAATAACAATCATAATGGTGAATATATAGGTACCTACTATTTTAATCTCTTGTAAATTATTGGACTCAATCAATTATAACATATACTGCCACTTAAATAAAAAAAACACAATAACCTTCGAATATTAAATATTTTGTACTTACTATATTTTAGAAATGCATAAATGTATTCCTTTTAAATATGGCAAATTAGTAAGTCTAGTTGGCCTTTAAAGTTATTTTTTGTACTACCTATTGAAAAAAACCCTTACAAAAAACGGGATGCCCCTCCCCAACTGGTATAATATTATAATATGTTTGCAGTGTACAGTTATCAATTATTATGTTAATTATAATTTTATGTATATCGTGCTCGTGGTATATATAATATGTGCAGGCATGAAAATCGGAGCGAACCTGGTGAACACGGAGTCAATGCGCAAAGCGGGGGCGGAACTAGTGGATGTGCCGCCAAAGGCATGCAAGGCATACAAATTCGGCTCGGACAAGTACTGGGCGTGTGTGGTCACCGAGTACACGGCCACCATATACCATCCGGTGGGCACTTGCAAGATGGGACCGGAACAGGACGAAGAAGCTGTTGTCGACCCGGAACTGCGCGTGTACGGGGTCGAGGGTCTCAGGGTGGTGGACGCTTCCATCATGCCGACAATCGTCCGGGGAAACACGAACGCGCCGACCATAATGATTGCGGAAAAGGCGTCAGACATGATCAAGGATAAATGGCATCAGCACATGTCGTCCAACGATAACGCGGCTGAAATCGACGAATAACGATCACGATGTGTGATATAATCATAGTGTTATTTTTGTATATGGCGATTGTATTTGCGTCCAGTGACAGAGCAGGTACTGTGGGCAGCAATCCCCAAAATGTAGTCATTTTTGAATTGTTCCCTTATGTTATTACCCTTAGGGGTGATCCCTGTCTGACAATTATGTAAGACTTACCCGTCATACAAACATATAAACACGAAGAAAGGACCTAATGTTTTTCAAAAAATCCCTGAAATTAAACGAGTAATCAATAAAATAATATTGTGAAGACGTTCCTATATTTCGATGTTATCGCATTTTTATAAATAATTGTATTTCATAATATAATTTATATATTTAGAATTTATGTCGTACTTCAGAGTGCTAGTTCTGAATTGACCAATCAAAGTTTAGTAAAATGTTTAACAAGTGTAAAAAATTAATAACTTAAAACCATAAACTAACAAGTATGCAATAATTTATGCTTTTATATTATAGTTTTATGTTTTAACTATAATATTATAATTTATACTATACAGTAATTTATTATTGAATAAAATATGAAACTAATAATATGAAGTTTGTGTAAAAGATTTGAAGATAAAAAACATAAATTTTATCAGCATAACTTTGTTAGCTGAATAATAGTGAATTACTATTAGGTACCTCATACAAGTTGATTTTTCTTTTTAGTTTCATCGTGATAGTAATAATAAGTAGGCATCGCAATATATACATTATTCGTGATATGTGTGCAGAATTCGCTTACTTCAATGCAAACTGCAGAACATACAGAAATAGGTCAACGCTGTGAGTATCTATTTATACACTATGAGGACGTAATAAATAATAAAATTCCGAAAACTTAAATCATCTACAAATTTGATCACTCAATCAGGATAGTACATTTTAAATTTCAAATGTATAAATTCATCAGTATACATATTATTAAAAAATTCCAAAGTTGCAGAAAACTGTACGACATAAGTATCACGCATGCAAGTATATTGGAATATTTAAGAAATAAAAAAAATCTAGATAAAATAGTTCAACTGTAACATTTGTAAAGTTTATGTGGGCACAGATTTACTAAATTTTAAAAACCTATAACAACCAACAAATTATATTTGATATATAAAAAAAGTGTAAGAAATTCTACGAATGACTAAAATTATAATATTCATTTAGAAGGGCGTTTTATCTATACTTACTCATTATTCGCACATCAATATGAATAGAACCCGAACATAATATTATAATATGAAATTTCTACTTTTACATTACATAACGTTGTGTAAACATAAATTGGCTAAAACCAAGTCCTCGTAATACGATGTATTATATATTTATATATACCAGTTATTAGATACTTATTTAAATATTCAACATTTTAATCTTTTTTCACTAATTTGTATTTTTATCTGTATTATTTTACCCGGTACACGTCTTAATAATATGATATTATAAATTAATAATTAATTATATGAATTCATGTGTAGAGTGAGTTTAAACAAATTGAATATTGATTTTTTATTTATTATTTGAATTATTAATTACAAGGCTACCTCAAAAAATATCATAAACTAGAATTATTTGTATAACTAGTAGGTTAGTAGGTACCTAAACGCCTGAAATATAAAATACAAAGCCAATATGACCATAATAATTTGAAGTCACAATATTATATTAAAATTAATTTAATAATAATATTAATGAAATAAACTAAAATCCACGCATCTTAAATTAAACAAAATACTGCTTTAATAGTGTTAAATGTATAGCTACTACTGTATATTTATTATTAATTTGCCAAACTATATAGTATCTGTGACCTAAGTATGATGTCGATATTTTTAAAAAATATGCTTGACGCATAAACATTATTATAAATATACTATACTATGTACCTAATTTATAACATTGTAATATACTAATATTATGTGTTACAATTTTAAGGGTAGAATGTGTACACAAGTTAGAAGTACCTTGATTATATAATATTTATATTATCTTTATTTTTTATACCTACCTATTTTTGTAATACCAGTATCTTATTATTTACATTTTAAATATACCTACATTTTTTTGTAATATTGTACATTTGTACATTTAAATGTACATTGTTTAATAACTATTTTAATATCGATGGAAATAATAATTGCTCAATATAATATAGTACAACGAAAACTACTTATTATTAATTATACATACATTTAACATATAAGTTTAAAATATTGTAAAAGTACACCTAAATAATATTGTTTTACACTTTTGTAAAAAACATGTATGTAATATACAGTACTTATAGATTTTCAAGAGCTTGAAGTGTTCAAATATCAAATAATAAGTTATACTTTTTAAAATAGAATATTAATAATTTTCAATGTAATAAATTCGCTGTATTTTTTAAGGAAGTGATTAATATTGTTTATATAGTAATATAGTATGTAGGTACATCTAACCTATACAGATATACTACAGATAAATAAATACATTTTAAGTTTCAACTCATCCGCATTCAAGCTTATTTGCTTATAGGATGAGTTGCAACTTTTTATTTATAGTCTATTTAACCATTGTACCTATATTTATGATGTTGCAATAAACTTTTATTATTATTATTATTATTATTATAAGTTCGGTGATCATGGTTTCTTCATGTCTGTAATAAGATTAATGGGAGGATCTGGCCATTAGTAAGTTGATCGTGGTTTTAAATGATAGATTTTTTTGATTGTTTGTTTTTCCATTGAGTTTGTATAAGGAGTTCCATATTTTAGTTTATAGTTTATACTGTTTATAGATTACATACTTTATATGTGCCATTTGCATAAAAAGTATAATGGTAACCTAACCTAACCTACCAAAATTTAACAAATAATAATGACTCAAACACATTTTGAATAACGAATTGAAACAATTTTGAATATACTTAATTTACTATCATAAGATACTTTAAAATGTCTTAAATTATTAAATTCTAAAGGATAGTAAAATTAAATAAATAAGGAATTTGGTAAAATATTTTATTATAATTATATGGTAAATATTTCTATAGTATTGTAATTTGTTAAATGAGTACAGTAGAACCTCGATTATCCGAACTAATCGGGACAGGACCTAGTTCGGATACTCGAAAGTCGGATACTGGAAAAGATTCTGAGCGGAGCGAGGAAGCTATTGGTTTTACAATGGTATTTATTTTTTATATCCTGTATACAATATTTCTACCAGAAGGAGTGCTTCAATTTCAACATATAGTACTTACCTTATCTTTTAGCAAATTGGATCAAGATGGTACTTTAAAGAGGTAATTTTTCGATTTTATCAATAATTATATAATGCCACGGGAAAAACCACCGAAAAATTACGTAAAACCGCTAAAAATAGGAATTTAATTTATAACTCTTTGTTTATCAGTTATCACCATAGAAACGAATAAAAATAATAATATTATAATATTAATTCAACTTACATGATATAATAAATAATAACAATAAAAAATATCCAGACTGACAAACCGTCTCCGCTCAGAATCGTTTTTCTTATACAATGATATTATATCATTGAATTCAAGTTAGTACAATCCATTATACAATGACCCACTTGTAACCTACTGTACAGCAGAGTGAAATCCACTTACCCACTTTTTTAAACATACAATTATATATACATACCGTTATTATTATTATTATTATTATTATTATTATTAGATATATTATAATAACATTTAGAAATATATAATCAGAAAGTGGGTACATAGGAACATAATATGTTTATGATATTTTTTTGACAAGATTATCCATTTTCATCTGCGACGCGCTTTTCTACAGCTAAGTCTCGAAAACATTCGGATTAACAGAGAGTTCGGATACACTAACTGTAGTTCGGATAAAATAACATCCGTATAACGGAGGTTTGGATCGAGGTTCTACTGTACATATTTTGACTCTATACTTATTTACATTTCTACATTTCTATCATTATTATTAATATAAACGAGTCATTTTTTTAATTATTTTTATTTAACATCACACTCAGAAACAGTGAGCATTGGGATGAATTTATATATTATATTAAAATTTTTTAGTAGATTAGCGGCAATGATGATTTTGAAGGTAGCGGAGACTGATTCGTCATTATTATTATTACGTATTTGAATAAGCTGTTATAATATTTTTAAGCTGATATTTTAAGAGGACGTCTCACTATAAACGAAATCTCGCAACGAGTGCCAACGACTAAAACAACTATAAAACGAGTATTATTACTAATAATTGGGAAAATGGAAGTTCTAACACTATGAAATTTGTGGTATGATATCCTCTTAAACTTTTAAGTATAAACTACCTACGTTTTAACCATTTGGAATTTGAGTATTAAATTAATTTTTTTTTGTTGCTAAAATGTAAATAGTTAAATGATTTTCAAATTAAAATCTTTGGAAACCATCATCGAGGTTCGTTTATTTCACGTTGCATAAATTAAAACTAAACATGATTTAATAATATTGATACAGTTTTACACAAATGAGAAAGTTATACATAATATACCTACTGTCTACGGTGTGAAATAATTAGTTGTTTCATATTTAGGTAAAACCTAACACAGTAGGTATCATAGTAACCAGATCTCAGTGCGCACGGACAACACGTCATAATATAATATGCAATAATATTGGTAGGTAGGTACTGCGTTAAAGACGAGACAACTCCCTAACAAGCTACCTACCTACATATCAATACATGTAGTTTTACCTGTGGGCATAACCAACTAAATACAATTAAAGCATTGTTTCCGAAACGTGTTAACTGTTAATAGTTTATAATAATAAGTTAAATAATATCAATATTAATCTACCAAAAGCCGAAAAAACCTTCTCGTACAATTTTACTAATTAGGTATAAAAGAAAGCAGACTCATAGATCATAATATTTTGTATAAACTGCAGGAGTTCTAAATTTATTAAAGATAATTGACTCGTACATTATTGGTCACGCAATTATGGCGGTACCTAC